GATATGGGATTTATGAAACTCCCAGACCATAAATTAGTTTTATCTTTTTCTGTAGGTGGTCTATGTGGCCCGCAATGCAAAGGACAATGCAGTGTCCTATTTCCACTTTGACCGCATGAACCTTATCCAGCCAGAACCAGGAGACTGGAGCAGCTATCTGCAGGGTTTCATGGAGGGAAAGAGTGAGTTCAGTGTAGTTTTACAGCAAAGAGACCACACTATTTCATTTCCTGTACAAACATTTCTTTGTGTATTGTTCTGTGGCTTCAGGGGTTTTTGGATCCTGGTATGACCATGTGAACGGCTGGTGGGAGAAGAAGCAAAGTTATTCAAATCTCCACTACATGTTCTATGAAGATTTGATTGAGGTGAGCTGGGCTAACATGTGTGCCATTTCCAACTGAGCTCTAACACTTTGTTTAATCATCATACACCTTTTAGAAGATGCTTAAAATGCCAAACTAAACTCTCAGTTCAACTCAGAAATACTGTCTAAAAATGACATGCATCAATATTCTAATCCAATTACTACATTTTTCTGATGATACATGGTAATATTTCTTAAACCAGGTTGTATTTTATTCGTTCTTCGAGTACTGGCTGGTGTGCAGTTTAATTCCACAGCGCAAGAAAAGCCAGCCAGAGCTGCAGACGGGTGTACAAAGAAAAAAAGCTATGACTTGTGAACAGACTTTGTAATGTTTGGTATCTCTGAAATTCACTGGTTGCAAAAATTTCTCTAAACCATGTCCAATATATTTTGTTAATTTAATCATTTTTGATGCATAAGTAACAAATAGAGAACACACTTTTTTCCACCAAATTCTCATTCAGCAAACATCTCTGCTATGTGAAGGGGAAATCCCCACTCAGCATACACATATGCACACTAAAATGTTGGACCTGGCCAGTCAGCCAGCAAATTTTTTCCTCTTGTGTTCCTGGCAACATATCAGTTTTTAGCCTGAGATGCTAACCGTCTGTGTGGACTGTATTGGATCAATGATTTGTTGTAAACCTTGTAGACTTATTACCAAAAGTTTAAACATTTATGAATGTGCTACAAGTGAGTATTTATCTATTATCAACATTACTAAACCGCAGATAAAGTAAATTAATTTATTGCATGTTAATCTAAAGGTTCTGAAATTTAGGAAACACAAAAGGGTAGAAAAAAATCATATCTAATTTTAATGTGAACAGGACTCTGAGCAAGAAATAGACCGACTGTGTTCCTTCCTTGGTTTGTCTCCATCACCTGAAGAGAAGGAAAGAGTCAGAGCCAGTGTGACATTTGACAGCATGAAACAAAACAAGATGACCAACTATACTACAATTCCAGAGTTGAACCACAAGGTGTCTCCTTTCATGAGAAAAGGTACAACTTCCTGCTGGGCAACATTTTTTTTCTCTATATCTATATCAGTGTGTGCTCCATTTATCATTAGGTTATTCAAATACTCTGAATGTTCTCCTTCTCCAGGGAAAGTTGGTGACTGGAAAAACCACTTCACTGTGGCCCAGAATGAGCGGTTTGATGAAGACTACAAGAAGAAGATGAAGAATCCTGATTTAAAGTTTAGATTTGAAATTTAAAGCCCGAGCTGGGCATGATGGAGTTCTGATCTGATGTAAGTTAAGAAAAATCAAATGTTATCCTTGATTTATGTAATTTTCTTCCACTGTGATGCAGATGGATATAAATAACAAAAAATGAAAAACAATTCATTGACACTGAGGTTTAACCAGAATAATAAAGAATTTTTAAAAATCGCCAGTATGTCTCTTCTACTTGTGCCACAACCTTTTGATGATGAAACTCTTTAATATGAACAGGGCTCTGAACAAGAAATACACAGACTGTGTCTTTATGAAATATGGATGGGCATGATGGAGCTCTGATGTGATATTTGTGTCAAGAAATAAATTTTTAATTTTATCAACATAACTATACAACTATATAACATAAAGACTTAGTGGAGGCCATGTATCCACAATGTTATGCTCATAGATATAAATCAGACCATTAACAATGATTGTGACTGAAATTAAACTTTAACCATTGAGCTTAACTTTCTCTTGAGACATACGGTGAACTTATGACGAAGCTTTGTCTTTCTACGAAGTAGAACTGTAGCAATGTCCTCCTTCTCAACATCCATGCATCTTCTCTGTAGTCTTCCTCTTTTCATCCTGCCCTGTCCAGATTCACATTCAACATCCTCCGCCCAACATATCCACTATCCCTCCTCTGCACATATCCAAAGAATCTCAGCTTTTCCTCTCTAACCAACCACAGCCTCCAGTCTTCTTTCTGTAATGCCACTAACATCGAACTATACATCATAGTCTTATTGTTATCCTTCTGTCACAAATCACCTGTGAAACTCTTCATCTCTCTTTATACCATCCTTTCCCTTGGATGATTGACCCCATGTATTTAAACTTGCTCATCCCTCTCATTCACAGTATTCTACTGGTTGCTTCTGTTGACTATATTTCCTCTTCTCTCCAGAGCATACCTCCACCTCCCCCAGGCTCTCTTCTACCTCCTCCCTATTCTCCCTACAGATCATATCATAGTCCATGAAGACTCACATCTAACCTCATCTGTCAGCAGTTTAGCTTTCAGTCCCATGACCACTACAAACAAGAAGGGACTGAGAGCTGATCCCTGATGTAATCCCACCCCTGCCTTAATCCTAACTGTCACTCCAGCTCCACTGCTCACTACTATCTCAATGTCCTCATAAATGTCACATACCTCTCTGTCACTCCTGACTTTCTCATGCAGTACCACAGTTCCTCTCTTGGCACCATATTAAATGCTGTCTCCAGATCCATAAAGACACAGTGAAAGTCCTTCTGCATGTTTTTCTACACTTCTCTATCAACACCCTCAAGAGAAACATCTGCAGTGCTGTCTCAGGATGAAGCCATATAGCTGCTCATTGATCATCTCCTCTGTTCTTGACTTAGATTCACAGTTATTTCACATATCTTAATGCTATGACTCATTAACTTTATCTCTCTGTAGTTACTACAGCTCTGCACATCACCCTTGTGCTTTAAAAGTGGTACAGTACACTTCTGCTCCATTCCTCAAGCGACTCTCATTCTCCAAGATATTTGTTAGACAATCTGATTAAAAAGTCCACTGCCCTCTCTACTAGACTTCTCCACACCTCCACAGGTATGTCATCTGGACCACCTGCCTTTCCACTTTTCATTCTTTTTAGGGCTGCCCACACTTCCTCCTGACTTATCCTTTGGAAGCTCCTCAAAATCCTCCTTCCATCTTCTCAGCACACTAGCTTAACTCAGTAGCACATTTCCATCTCTATCCTTAATCAACCTAACCCGCTGCACATCCTTTCCAGTTCAATCTCTTTGCCTGTCCAGTCTCACTTACAGCTCGCTACAGGCCTCTTTCTTTTCCTTTGTCACCTCTCTCCCCTTTTTTTCACCTTAACCATACACTTAGCCTCCCAGTACTCTGACTACTTTCTTCATCTCTATACTTATCCCATTTTTGCTTCACTAAACTCTACCTTTGAATACTTTCCTGAACGTCTTCATTCCTCCACCAAGTGTCCTTGCCTTCTTTCTTCTGTCCTTAAAACTTCAGCTGTACTTTCCCAGTTATGTGATAACTCTTCTCTACTACCCAGAGCCTGTCTCAACTCCTCCCTGAACTCTGCACAACATTCCTTCTTCTTCAACATCCTTGCCTCTGACCTTCACTTGCTTCCTTATCTTAATTTCCATATCCAGTACTGCCTAGCTACATTATCCTTGTCACCACCTTGCAGACAGCTTTCTCTTTCAGATTTCGCCTTCTGCTTACGATGTAGTCTGTGACCACTCTTATATGTCATCTCGTGTCCCTCCCTCTTCCTGAAATATGTGTTTACCATAGCCATTTCCTTCCTTTTCACAATATCCACCACCATCTGTCATTCTCTTTACCTGCTCCCTTCACTTTCATATCCATTGACGTCTGCTCCAGTTATCAAGCTTAGTCATCCAGCTTACTCCAGAATTCCTCTTTCTCTTCTATCATCCAGCCTGTGAGGCATACACATTGACAACATTCAACATCATGCCTTCAATTTCCAGCTTCAAACTTATGATCCTGTCTGACACTTTCTTCTTCTCCTCTGCAACACTATTCATGTACTCTTCCTTCAACATTGCACCATTTCTCTTCCTATCTACACCATGGCAGAGCAGCTTGAATCCACCTCCAGTGCTCCTCGCCTTGATTCCATCTGGTCTCCTGTGCACACAGTATCTAGCTTCCTTCTCTCCATCACATCATCCAGCTCTCTTCCTTAACCAGTTATAGTCCCGACATTTAAAGTCCCTACTTTCATCTCCGCATTCCTGCCTCTCTTTCTCTCGCTGCCTCTGAACACGCCTTCCCCCTCTGCTCTTCCTTTGTCTTCGGACAATAGTAACATAGCTTCCGCCGGCACCCTGGTAACCAACACCACTGGAAGTGGTCGTCGTTAACCTGGGCCGCGACCGATCCGGTATGGAAATCTCATAATTGATGATCATCATGTTTGATTTGGCAAAGGTTTACGCCGGATGCCCTTCCCGACCGAAGATGGGGGTACAATTTATGACGGGGAACACCGGCACTGGGAGTACTCTGGCTTGTGGCCCCCTCGTGGCTGTGTTGATTGGTGATATATATATTTACATTTTATCCCAGTCATTATTGTATTTTATCTTTCGTGCAACATGTTATGATCCCTGAAGCCATGGCTCAGAGGGACCTAACATATGAGATGCCAGCGCGCTTTTATAGTTCAACAAATATTTAATAGTAGAAAAATAATTACATAAAAAGACCGAGATGGGAAGCTGGGGCATAAACAAACAAAAGGGAAAGATCATCAACCAACCAGACACTTGGCGATCGGGATTCTATATGAATCTCCAAATTACTATTAGCAAAACTAAACAAAAAGAACCAAAACCATAAACAAGATATCCGGATCCAAGTAACAATAACCAACAGCAGCTGCAAATTAACGCTGGTGCTGATGGAGATGAGAGAGAGCGAGGGGGGAGGGAAAGAGAGAGCTCTTGTTCTGCTTTTTCAAGCCTTCTACAAAATTTGGTTAACATTTATAGCCAATCAGCGATTGAGAGAAACCAGCGAGCCGAGAACATGGCAGAAAACCAGTATCAGGATGCATAGCACAACAAAACAATCAAACTTCTTGTTTTTCCTGTTTGATATTTTTACTGGCAAGTTTGGATGAACTTATTTAACCCCAATCATGTGACTTTATGTCACTGGTGCATGTGTTCATATTTGAAGTGTCAGACTCAGTATGAATGTAAGGGTACAACAGTCTGCGTAATTCTTCGCAGATTTCAGGACGCTGTGCAGCGTGTGTGCTACAGCGAGTATTACGCAACAAGCAGACTTCTGGGAGATCCGGATCCAGCCCAAGTGTAATACTAATCATCAGGGTGAGTGTGGAGTCCTTTAAGTAATATTTACGAACAAATACACCAAGCTGTCAGCTGTGCACGTTTTAAAATGTGCAAAACTTTTTATTTGACATATCAGTAAATGAAAACAAATATATTTTTCTAACATGCTGCTAAAGTTAGTTCAGCTTTTACAAAGATTCCGTTTATACATGTAAGCGACCATCCAAGCTTCATAATCACTGGCTGCTAACAATAAACATGCTGTATTTTTATTTACACGCACGCACACACACACACACACATATATATATATATATAAACATGTTTTAAACATGTTTTAAACATGTTTTCAAGTCCCATCTAAGATTTAATTAGTAATAATAGATTATTTTGTACATTTCAGGACATATGATGTCATGGAGTAAATTAAAAATGGGAGAAATGAACTTGGGCAACAACATGTAGGCAGGAAAAATGTATAAAAAATGTGACCCATATAGGATTTTAAAGGCAAGTAATTTCCACAGATGGAGATGCCACCTCGGCCAAAACTATATGACTTCCATGGAGTCTCCATGACCAAGATGTTCACTGACAACTGGGATAACATACAGAACTTCAAAGCAAGACCAGATGATATTGTCATTGCTACTTACCCTAAAGCAGGTACTGATGTGTTATGTAATCATGTGGAGCTTATGTAATCATAATACTTTTTTTTTTCATAAACGATTTCCTGTTGGTGTCTGAGTTGATAGGTTTACAGCTTAACAAAATGTATTCATTTCAATTGCAGGAACCACGTGGGTCTCTTACATGCTAGATCTTCTGTATTTTGGGCACATGGGTTCAGACCGTCAGACATCCATCCCTCTTTATGACAGAGTGCCCTTTCTGGAGCTCTACGTACCTTTTCTACCTTCAGGTTGAATCTTGTGACCACCTTCAATTAGCCATATTTGTATTAGACCAGAACCAAAAGGTCCATCCCTCCCTATTCATGAACGAGTGCCCTTCCTGGAGCTCTGCGTACCTCCTATGCTTATAGGTTGAACTATGTTGCCACTCTGAATTTAAAATACACCAGAATAAAAAGCGCTAGGTACCAAGTTTATGTCCGTGTGCTCAGTTCATTCAGAGGATTATTGCAAGTCACCAGTTTTTAGAAACTGTGCTGAAAACAGGTCTAACCTGTTGCATTCTGTTCGTTTGCATGCATCTTTCTCTGCCAAATGCTGAAAAGGAAGCTACAAAATGTAAAAGGTCCTAAAAGGTAGCAGTTTTATTAGTGTGTAAATGTGTTAGGTGAATCAGAATATCTCAGAAACACCTTAGAATTTTTTAGGCAATCGGTTTTATTGTTCTGTGGTATCTAAATAAGTCTAATGTTGCATGTCTGTGAAGGTTCTCAGTCATCCAGGTCATCGTAGTCAAAGGAGCTTGCAAAGAAAAGCGTCTGGACTTCTTTAAGTTACTTGAAGACGTTTCAC